TATATATATATATATATATATATATATATATATACATATATATTAGGAATGTTATATAGTAGGTCCTAAAAACAGGTTTCATATGATAACCTTTAGGGGTGCCAATAATTTTTGTCCATATGTTTTTAAAAGAGTACACTATTCTCATAATGAAGCAGCACTTTTGTAGGAATGGTTGGTTGGAATTGGTACTAAATAAATCATAAGCAATTTCTCAAAAACATTTAAATGAAGATTTCAATTATTATATGTAGTGTTTATTTTATTCTGCATTATATTTGCACACAAAATTTTATAATGATTTACACACATTTTATAACACATTATAGTACTTTTTTTGAGGGGTGCCAATAATATTCATTAATTAATTCATTTAATTTTTTGTTTGATCTTTTTGGCATAATACAATAACGGTGCTCTGAATTTGAATACTATGCTGTTGGAGTGTAGGTGCGTGTGTTCACATTCTCTGTGGGTCAACATAACTATGACACCTGGCCAATAAAGTGGATGGCCTGTGCTAATAAAGGTAAGTATTGCTCAGTCTGTTTTTGCCCCCTAGTGGCAGTAGCACAAAAATAATTCTTACATCTCACAGCCTCTTTAGCAGATTCACCACTAGATTGCTAAAAAATAAATATATTAAATATGATAATCCATATATGTTTTCTAGGATATTTCTACGAAATCCCATCCATTGGAGCCATTCGCATAAACACACAGGTCTGTATAGTGCCAAAGTGTTTCAAATGCGACTCATTTAGATAGTTGTTTAGAAGTATGTGAAGGTCCAAGGATGACCACTCATTGATTGCATCGTGTTGTTCACTGTTGCATAGGAGTATCTAGATGTTTTGGGGAGGTCAATGGTCCTTGCAGATGCCAAACAAGTGCAGTGGACCAACGTGTACCTGGACGCTCTGGTACAGCCCCTTTTTTAATAAACATCACAGAAATTGTGAAAGTGCATTGTGTTTGATTAATTTTGTGTTCTCTTCATGACCTCAGGAGTTGGGCCTAGTCGTCACAGGCACGCTACCTGTGTTCAACAAGACCAAATCTAGGAAGGGCGGATCTCGAAACCAGGTCAGGTCATTGTTTATCTTGATTTTCCAGTTGATTTCCCAAGATAAAAATGTAGATACCCTCACAAACTCTTTCTTTGTACAGTATTACCTTTCACAAAATAAAAATAAAATACAATTACTTCCCTAACTTCCTATCCAAAAACAATAAATAAACAAGGTTCCAAAAAAAATGGCGTCGGTCTCCCTACCTCCCCAGAATATTATTATATACAATTATTTACAATGATAAGCGAACAGATCCAAACAGGGGCAATCCAGAATCATTGTCAAAGAACAGGCGGAAGTCAGTAGTAAGAATAAATGGGGAAAGCAAACTAACAAACAATCTCTCACCAGCGAACACTCAATTGAACACACACAGAAACTCTCAGTCTTACTAACACATGTAACTAACTAGCAGAGCAAACACAGCAAGAGAGCACAAAAGCTGAAGCAGGAAGTGATGACGGAGTCTCTTATAGGCAGCAAGAAGTCAGCTGATCAGGCAGGGCATGGCACAAATTAGACTGCAGGAACCAATCAGCTTCTTCCTGGACAGAAGACACACACAAACACTTCCCAAACAAAAGAAAACACAGAAGTAGAACAAAAGGGACGTAACATTTGTATGAAAGTGAAATAATTAAGGCTGTGGAATGGGAATCATGTAATGACTGAAAAATCAAAACATTTTAGCTACTTCAGAGTAAAACGGGTGACCAAACAGGACAACATTTTATAAAATCTTGAACATCAGTTTATACATAAATTATTGATATATTAAATCCACATAAACTACCATTCAAGTGTTTAAGGTTGGTGAGATTTTTTTTTTTCTACGTTTTTGAAAGAAGTCTATTATATTGCCCATTTATTTGATGAAAAATACAGTAAAAACAGTAATATTGTGAAATATTATTACAATTTAAAATAACGCATTTTTCTATATAAGCCCTTTTCCACCGCTGAATACAAATAAAAAAGATAATTGCAAGTTTTTATCTCACAATTCAGACTTTTTTTTTCTTGCAATTGTGATGTTTTTTTCTCACTCGCAATTCTCACAATTGCTAGTTATAAAGTCAATTCTGAGGGGGGAAAAGTCTGTGTTCACAGAGTTGCGAGTTTATCTCACAATTCTGACTTTTGCGTTTTTAGAAGAAAAAAAAATAATTGTGAGATATCAACATAATTCTGAGGAAAAAATCAGAAATGTGAAAAAAAAAGTCAGAATTGTGAGATAAAAAGTCACAATTACCTTTTTTTTAATTTATCTATTCAGTGACAGAAACGGGCTTCCATAGTTTTTTATTATGATATATTTTAAAAAGTAATTTGTTCCTGTGATGGCAAAGCTGAATTTTCAGTAGCCATTATTCCAATCTTCTGTGCCACATGATCCTTCTGAAATTATTCCAATATGTTGATTTGGTGTTATTATTTATCTATTTTTTTTATATACAATTTATTTATTTCTTTTCTTTTTTTTTATTATTCATTTTTATAATTTTTTGCTGAATAAGTATTAATTTCTTACAAAAAAATTTAATCTTACTGACCCAAGACATTTCAATTGTATGTATATAGTACTTGTTATATGGTTCATTTTGTATAAATATGAATGTAAAACCTGAAAAAGTATGTATAAATTTGATTCTATATATGTACTGTAAAAGGTTTACATTCTCTCTACATTAACAGCAGCCTTTATAGAAAATGCAAAGATTATTCCTGATATGAGAACACGTTGTAACATTAAAAAAATCAAAATAAAACTCTGTACATATTGTTTTAAATGAACACAGGTCCTTAAGTGCACAAACAAGAACAATGTTTCAAACTGAGCCCCAAAAGCGGGAATAAAGCATTCGAATGAACACAGACCAGAACACCAGATGTCATTAACAGGCCCAATACTCCAATAATAGCCCAATTCTTGGAACAAACTACTATTTTTGTCACGTTTAATGAGGATAAAGCTATTACTGACGCAAACGTGTAAACCTTATTATCTCTTGAATGTATTAACCATGTGGACAGTGACCTTCTCAGGAACACTACAAAAGTAGCAGATATGGAAAATAAATACATTATCTTATCCTAAAGTTTCCCAGTTGGGGGTCAAAGGATTCGTACGTTGTTTGTCTACTAAACCGCTTGACCCTCTGAAAGCTGCCGTTACTTTCCACTCGCCAACTGCGTCACTGGCTTCTTCGATAAGGTTAATATCCATTTCCAGTATGGATGACGAGCATTGAGGCCGTTTAGATGTGTTGCTCTACACCTTCACGTAATTTCATGGCGGTTATTTTTGCCCAAATGCAACAGTTTGTGTTGTTGTGAAATCTCATTCAAGGTTTTATGCTTTCCAGGTGTAGTTTTGCCTCATATTTGTTTGTAAATGTCAGTCCATTGCATGTCAGAGTGGAAACTTTGTGTTTTTTGATCTCTCTTTTAGCATCAGAACCAGTTGATTTTAGGAGTGATGGGGGTGGATGTGTCTCTCGATGATATCAAAAGATTGACGCCCCGCTTCACAGTGAGTACCACAAACACATACTATTTCAACTCGCATATATTCAGCATTTCATGCGGTTTGTATTCCAGTCTAATAAAAAAATACAAAATAAATGGAAAGTGGAAATTTCAGTCTTAATTTGCATACAATCTTCACATACACTGCTGTTCAAAAGTTCGAGCTCTGTAAGGTTTTTTGAAAGAAATCACTTTTATTCAGGAAGGACACATTATGGAAGCCCGTTTCCACTGCTGAATACATTTATTTATTTTTTTTGAAGTAATTGCGACTTTTTATCTTCCAATCCTGACTTTTTATCGCAATTGTGAGTTTGTATACGCAATTCTGTCTTTTTACTCGCAATTGCGACTTTTTATCTCGCAATTCTGACTTTAATTCATTTCAGAATTGCGACATTATTTCTCAGAGAAATAAAGTCAAAATTGCATGATATATACTCTCAATTGCAAGAAAAAAAGTCTGAATTGTGAGATAAAAAGTCGCAGTTACCTTTTTTTTATTTTTTATTCAGTAGCTGTAATGGGCCTCCATATTAAGTTGATCAAAAGTAACAAAAACGTTTATAGTGTTACAAAATATTTTTATTTTGAAATAAATGCTGTTCTGCTGAATTTTCTATTCATTAAAAAAATTCTGGGGGGGAAAAGTACAACTATTTTCATAATTTTCATAGTAATAAATGTTTTTTGGGCACCAAATCAGCATATAAGAATGATTTCTGAAGGATCAAGTGACACTGAAGACTGGAGTAATGGCTGCTGTAAATTCAGCTTTGCATCACAGGAATAAATTACTTTTTAAGAGTTATTTTAAATCGTAATAATATTTCACAGTTTTTACTGTGTTTTGATCAAATAAATGCATCCTTGGTGAACATAAGAGACTTTGAAAAACATAAAAAATCTTACCAACCGCAAACTTTTGAACAGCAGTGTAGAATAAAATCTGAAGTGTCAGTCGAGTCGCACCAGTTTGATGTCAAAGACGAGGCAGGCAAGAATTGTATGGCTTCAAAAGACATAGTGTATAGTGCATGCACTCATTTTAGGGTGCTTTTATGGTACTTTATTCTCAGATTTGGTGCTTGACAGCCCTATTTGCTTTCATTGCATGAGGAAAAAATCTGGTTTTGGGACGACGTGAGGGCGCGTAAACGGTGACAAGTTTTCATTTAGGGTGAACTATTCCTTGAACACTACATAATTCAATTTATAAGAGAACAAAGCTAAGCTCATGTGTTAGATGTTTTCTTTGCGGACTCTTTGAGTCGCTGTAATAAGAATAACACGGCACGCATAAGATAAATGCGCTATTGTTCTGCGGTCTGCCGTCTTGCGGTTTCGCCTCCTTACAGTAAGATCGCTCTTAAGAGGACGTAAGCCCTTGTACATTACATCTGTTTGTACTTACATTTGATTTGTAAATGGTTGTGATTTTCTGTTAAGCTCAGAGGAATGTTTCCAGATGAACCGACACATTTGATTAACGCTAAGTGCTCGGGGGTGATTGACAGCTCGGGCCGGTGTTCTCAGGGGATATTAGACAGTACCCCGCTAGTGAGGGATTAACCGCCACATCTCGGAGGAACCAGGCCCATTCGGTCCAAGCCGGGATTTGGGTTTGATGGTGGTCTTCTTTTTCGAGGTGTCCTCACTGTTCTCCTCTTATTTCATTTCAGATTGGTCCTAATGGATATTATTTCGCAATTGATCCTAACGGTTACGTGCTGCTCCATCCAAACCTGCAACCAAAGGTACCGAAGCATTTTCTCTACCCAAATACCTAAAATATGACATCACAGCACATTTATGACCCAGGAAGAGGTTTTGAGGCTGTTTGTGGTGGGAAACCATGACATACTTGTCTAATACGTTTGTTTCTTGTTTGACATCGGTGTTATTTAACATCTGTAGTTCTTGTATCTCTCTCTCTCTTTATCACTATATCCCCCTCCCTTTTTGTCTGTGTATATGTGCTGCATATTTATGTTCATTCTCACCTACATGGGTGTGAGTGTGTGTGTGACTTTGAACAGCATGTACACGTGTGTTCATGTATGCATTTATATCAAGCATATGTTCAGTATTACAGAGGACCAAGTTTAAGTTACGCATCTGCCATTGAAATTCCCAATTAATGAACCGCTGTTCTGAATATTGTCCCTCTCAGCTTGGATGGCATATTGGATTTGGCATGGATGAACAGGTTGTAAGGGAATGAAATCCATTCAAAATGTTGCACTAAATCGTATCTAATTTTACTGTTTTTAAAGCTGTCCAAATTGATCAAAAGACATATTTGGAATTTTTTAAAGGGTTCATATGATGTTGCTAAAAAGAACATTATTTGGTGTATTTGGTGTAATGAAATGTGTTTATGCAGTTTAAGATTCAAAAATCACATTATTTTCCACATACTGTGCATTGTTGTTTCTCCTCTATGCCCCGCCTTTCTGAAACGCATAGATTTTTACAAAGCTCATCGGTCTGAAAAGCGAGGTGTGCTCTGATTGGCCAGCTATACAGTGCGTTGTGATTGGCCGAATACCTCAAGCATGTGACGGAAATGTTACGCCCCTATCATACTGTGATGCCCTGTCCAGCCGGAGCGACGAGACAAAAACATTAAAACCCATTATAAACAAGGCATTTGTTGCATCCAGTGGGGACGGATTATAATGACATATACTGTCTTTTTACGTGTTGCATCGCGCCGCGTAAACATAAAACCATGTCTGCATTTGTGATCGGAGAAATGACAAACAACAAGCGCTACTCTACACTGCTCAAAACTTGCGTTTGAATCGTCAGTGGCAAATTCTTTAATATAAAATCGTGCTTTTCAGTCAGAACAGCCGGCATTGTAGTCTACTCTCCCAGGATCAGGAAACAGTCCTCCATAAAATGTGCTGCACACAAATGAATATTTGGTTTGAACTGTTCTGGAACAGTGTTGTAAATACAACTTAACCACTGATTTCTAGTAGTTGTGCATCCGGCGGGCTTGCGGCAACCACATGTGATGACCCCGGGCTGGACTCTGCTTCGTCCACAGTGAAAGCCGATCCGGCGATCCACAGCGCGAAGTTGATGTATTTCCTCAGCGACCAGCACGGATCAGCTCTAGGCATGACGAAGCGGATATCGTCCTCTTTTGGAAGACCAAACAAAGTAGTTTCGCTTTCACAACGAAACACAGCGTCTTCACAACATGGCGGCAGCAACAATACTACAGCGAGAATAAAAGTTACGCCTTCTTTCTTTACGTGAACATTTGGGCGGCGTTATGCAAATCTTCCCACATCGTGATGTAGACATGTGGGGGCATGTTAGAACGAGCCGTTTTAGGTAGGTGTGGCTGACTCTTAACTTTTATAAAGAATATCTCTTTGGATTTGAGACTTTAGTCTTTGCAACTTTACAGATCTTCTTTATGCACCAAGAGCTTGTAGCACTTCAAAGAGAAATTAAAAATTGAAATCGCATCATATGACCCCTTTAACAATGGTCTCATGAAAATAATTGTTTGTTAATAGCACATTACATTTATCTATCCCATGACACAAACGGGAAGATCAAGCATCTGCGAGTGATTCAGCTCATATCATTATTGACAAGTGTATCTGACCTCATATGTAAAGCTGTAGATTTAAAATGTATGAACATGCATTTGCGGTGTGTAAGCAGCCACTCATATATTTTTTCCTTTGGATCAGAGCACACAGCCCCTCTGCTGGGTGAGCTTTGCACATAACCTTTGCAAATCGCCCGAAGTAATATGCTGTGCTTCTGGCAACGAACCATACATGTTTCTCAATGCAACTCCACTACACTTATCCACACTCCACTACTTACATATCAGTCTGTTTGCAGGTTCCTTTGATTCTGGTATCCAGCCACACACATAGGCCAGTCTGTATTTCATCTTTTAAACAAAGAATGTGAAAGAGAAAAGAGATCACGTGTATGTGTTCAGGGTCATAGTTTATCCTCGGTCTGGATGGTAAAAGCACCGTCCATCACCCAGTCTCAGACAATCCCAGCCCACCATGACAGTCTCGCAAGTTAAGGAGGTAAAATGCATTAAATATATTATGTCTGGATGGCTGTAGATTAAAAATAGTTTAGACGTTCTCTGATTTAAGCTCAAAATGCAATCGCAGAGTTATACATGTGCAGGGCTCGACAATAAGGATGACTCGGGGGCCAGTGTGAGATCAAACATTTGGTTTTGGGTGATGTATTTATGCTATATGATTATGCTAATTGAAGTATGTAACGAAGGTAACGTTATCTAGCCTGCTAATGTTTTTTTTTTTTTTGCATGAATTGATCAGTGAATACTTTTAAATTATTACAAGAAATCTACATTTATTTTAGACTATTTCAAATAAATATTTTTTTTAACCTTCTATTCTTTAAAAAATCCTGAAAAAAACTATCACTGTTTCTACAAAAATATTAAGCAGGACAACAGTTTTCAGCATTGATAATAATAAGGAATACATTTTAAAAACATTAAAAATATATTAAAATAGAAAACCGTTACTTTTTTTAATTATAGTAAAATTTTGCAATATTACATTTAAAGCAATAAAAAAAAAACTTTTAAACTGTTATGCATATACCGTTTACATACAATTGCCAGAACACTGAAGATGGGTCATGGATGGGTCTTCCAGCATAACAATGACCCAAAACATACTGCCAAGGCAACAAAGGAGTGGCTCAAGAAGAAGCACATTAAGGTCATGGAGTGGCCTAGCCAGTCTCCAGACCTCATCCTATAGAAAATCTGTGGAAGGAGCTGAAACTTCGAGTTGCCAAACGACAGCCAAGAAAGCTTAAGGATTTAGAGAGGATCTGTAAAGAGGAGTGGATCAAAATCCCTCCTGAGATGTGTGCAAACCTGGTGACCAACTACAAAAAACGTCTTACCTCTGTGCTTGCCAACAAGGGTTTCTGCACCAAGTACTAAGTCATGTTTTGCTTGGAGATCAAATACTTATTTCACTCACTGAAATGCAAATCAATTTCTAACCTTTATATAATGTGTTTTTTCTGAATTTTTTGGTTGGTATTCTGTCTCTTTACATTAAAATAAACCTACCATAAAAATGACAGACCCTTCATTTCTTTGTAAGTGGGCAAACTTACAAAATCAACAGGGGATCAAATAAATATTTTCCCCACTGTGTGTGTGTGTGTGTGTGTGTGTGTATAACAGTACATTTTAACAGGGCAGGAAAAAATATGAAACACGGTTCCAACCGAACCAGCAGAAAAAAATCCTTATTGTTGAGTCCTAATGTGTAACTCTGAGAGATTTCTTCTGTGCCTGAGGACACCTGGCTTGTGAGTTAGGGCAAGTGCTGAAACATGTCAGTGTTATTGCTGAAATGTTGGGTCAGAGAAGTACGATGTTTGCTGTTAAATCGACATTAAAATAACAAAGCTCCAGGTCTTATATATGGAGAATATTAACTTCAGTCCACAAGCCAGTCAAATCCAGCATACAGAACACATTTCTGTCCTTGGCGTCAGTAAGAACGAATATTATGACATATTTCCATCTTGCCTCAAAGTTCCATCGTCCAGCTTTTGCATTAAAGGAAACGACAAAGACTTGGAGATTTCTTCCACTCCCCATCGTTCATACGGAAAAGCCTTTGAAAAGACTTTACCGAAACAAACTCGTAACATAACTCGCGAGCAATGTTTTTTTTTTAATGAGCTCATCTATATCGTTAAAGGCATAAAAATGAACTAAATGCATGTGCCATTACAAACATAAACGCCAGCGTTATTGCTCCCAGCGGACTCCATGTGCGGAACAGGCTGCGAGATCGGGTCGGTTTTACTTTAGTTTAGCGAGCCGACTCTGATCACATCTGAAGGCTTGATCTCTCAAGGACAGATGTTGAGATGCGATCTGGTCCGGCCGCAGATCGGCAGGCTGATTGAGAGAGACACGTAGGCATGGATTGAATCTCTGAACCGTGGATGCCGTACTTAACCCCGAGCAGCGCTGATATGCAAACACAAGCCCCTAAACCATGGGGTGCCAGATCTACTGGAAACAGTTCAAAGTGCTTCGCCAGCATCCAGCGGTGCAAAACACATGACTGAATTTGTCGGCTAAAGTTAAGAGAAAGCGACCACTTCGAACGAACTTTGGAGAGTCTTTCAAGGAGACTTTGAACACTGCAGGAAGGGCTAATTTGATTTTGACAGTGCAGAAATTGAACAAACCCTCATAGTATGTCAGCCATATGTTGTCTGCTCGCCAGAGATCGAAATAACTGTGTTCAAACAGTAGGAAGGCCTATACGATGGGAATCGATTTATAGCTTGCACTTTTATTCCTTTCAAATATTCTCATCTATGATGGATTACCGTGTTTTACAATAACAGCATTGTTAACAAGTGTGGTCTCTTTCGAGGCTTAAGTCAGTTTTTGGCACCCACAAAAATACGGTAAAAACAGTACTATTTTGAAATATTACTACAATTTAAAATAAATGTTCTATTTTAATATTTTTTTAAATGTAATTGATTCCTGTAATGGTAAACCTGAATTTTCAGCAGCCATTACTAAAGTGTACAGTGTCTATTGAAGCCAGTGTCCATCATAGGCAGAATAAAAAATGAAATTGTGGATTTTATTTATTTATTTAAATCTGAATTTAAAATAAATTAAAATTCAGATTTTTATTCTAGGTTACATCTCGCAATTCTTTTTTTTCTTCTAAAC